GTGCATGCAGATCCAGTTTGGATCATTGAACTCAGATGTGGCTGGCCAGTGCGTCTCCTGGATAAAGCAGACATGCACAGGCTTCTGTTGCACGGCTTCGTCCTGCAGCCACTGAAGCAGCTCTGCCCATCGGGCCGTGTGTAGGCCTCCTGAATTCCAAGTAATTATGCGAATGCCTGAAGGAGGCTTACGCGGTCTGCATTTGGGTCTAGGGACTGAGGTTGGACGCATGGTAAAGGTGGTGCCCAAGGTGGGAGCTTCATGCAGGCGTCGGCGATGCGGCACTCTTGCCTGCGACTGTGCAAGGGATCTGGCTCTAAGGAAGGCTAACTTACGCGGGGGTTTCAAGGCTGCTCTACTTCGGGGTGCTGCCTGTGCCTTTTGGAGCAGCTCAAGCACGATGAGCATGGCGAAGAGTCGGGCCAAGCGTGGTGCGCAGCTTCCCTTCCTACACATGACGGGTGGGAGCTTATGTGTTAGGGATTGTGGCTGACACTGGCATGCCTTGCCGAAACGGCGAACTCTTCGATATTGCCCTCGGCACTTCCTTATGGTGGTCCAGTGACGTGTTGCTCCCTTTTCCCTGGTGGCCCTTAATGCTGCTCCTACCAACCATAGAACAAACAATCCAACCACCGGGGTTTGGAGATTGCGGGGCAAGTGTGGTGTTGGTCCAGACTTAGATTGCATTGCGTCTAGGATTTCGAGCTCGTTGAAAAGGTGAAACAGTGAGCTACAAGGATTCCCTTGGGGATTCCCCTTCTTGGGTTGCGGGCCGCAATGGTTCGTGTTTCTGTGAACCTTTGGGGTTTCAGATTGTTGGACTCCAGGAGGGCGTCGGCCTACTACTCCAACCCTAGCATCCGCGGACGTCTGATTATTGTGCATATAAGTCGGAAAATCAAAAGGTAAAGGGTGCACTAATCCTGAGTCAGCGTCGTGTCCGCCTCCGGCATTGGGACCGGAGCAGCTCCATCCATTCCATGACCAAAAGTGGTGGGCCCACCATGTTAGCCGTTTATGAAAAATCTCCGCTGCCTCTGGCCTGACTGTTCTGATCCTCAGCGACCTCGTCCTTTCGAGAGGAGCTAATGGGAACGCCTCTATAGACAAAGTCCAAGAACTCTGCCTTGTCTTCCGGTCCAAGCATTGTGAAAATGAGCAGCGGTTTGGCATCTCCCATGCCACATGCGGCTCTCTCAATGGCTCTACGAACCAGTGATCCAGGCTGAAAGCCGTTTTGCTGCTGGATCCATCTCTGAATGAGGTCCAGTCCAACTTCGAAGGCCTGGTCGCGATCCTCGCCATTAACTCGATCGTCTTTGAACCAGTATGTGTAGAACCACAGATCATTCTCTCCGACCGGATGAGAGGATATTCGTTCCCAAGCATCGATGAGAATTTGTAGTTCTTCGCGTCCATACTGAAGTCTGTCCGCAGTTCGGTTGCAGATCTCGCGAATGCCGACCCCAGACATCTGCCTTCCCGCCCAGGTTGCCTTGGCTGATATTGCTCGTTCAGACAGGCCTTGGCGACGGAGGTCATGACGATAGACCAGAATGCAAAGCTCCTTAATGATTTTCCTGACGAATTGCGTCCATTTGGCCTTGAACCTGGTTGTTTCCTCCGGTGTTGGTCCATGTTGCGAATCTTGCATGTGCCGCTGGCTCAATTTCTGCTGCTGTGAGCAGTAGAGGATATTGTGCCGCCAAGAAGGCTCGAACCCTTCTATGCTTCTCCAACGGCAGCGTTGCCCTTGAGAAAGCCAGCAGGCTTACAGCGTCCTGGTCTGCTGTCAGGTTGTAGGTCAACTGCAGAATGTAAGACTTGATGGGCTCGCTGGAGTTGATATCCAAAAGATGTTCCGTAACTTCCTCAAGGATGCGTACCCGAAGGTGAGTAGCAGGCAGAATGTTCGCAGCGCAGCAGGCCTAATGGCACGGAGTCTAACCAAAAAAAGCTAACGGGCCTCGCTCGGAGCCGAGATGCTTGATGATGATGATGATGATGATGATGGTGATGGTGGTGACGATGAGGATGACGATGAGGATGACGATGATGATGATGATGATGATGATGCAGAAGATGACGATAATACAGATGACGATGATCGTGATAACGTCGATGACTATGACGGGTTTAAATAAGATCATGATGAAGACGATGACGATGATAAGGTTTATGATGATGTTTATGGTGATGAAGACGATGTCGATGATGGTGATGGTCATGATGATGATGATGATGGTGATGATGATGATGATGCTGAAGATGATGAAGACGATGCCGATGATACAGATTATGATGAAGACGATGACCATGACGATGACAACGACGACGAGGACGAGAACGATGACGACGACAACGAGGACGAGAATGATTTCTTTGTTTCCTACGCCGCAGAGAGACGAGAATGATGATGATGATGATGACGATGATGATGATGATGATATGATGATGATAAAGATGATGATGAATACTATGTTTTTGATTAGTATCATGAAGACGAGGACGATGACGATGATTATCATGATGATAACGATAAAGATGGCGATGAAGACGATGACGATGATAAAGGTCATGATCATGAAGACGATTAATAAGATGACGAACAAGATGAGGAATGTGAAGATGAAGATGATGCAAACAATGACGCGATCAGGGTTAGCTGTATTAAGGATGTGAACAGTATGAGCAGTCCAAAGCACGGTAGCAACCCAAGCAGCGAAGCAGCAAACCAGCAAACTTCAATAGGCATAGACAAGGATGCGTACATTATCATTGCTTTTTGGAATTTTAACCATGCTAGCAAGCAATTGCCTAAAAGCATTGATGATGGCAAGAACAAACGTCTGCAACACAAAGCACAGCGGCTCCGCAAGATGGGTCCATTCCACATTGAGGGGGCCCCCAACCCAACTTTTGTTGGCAGGTTTTCGAGGATGGATCATATCGAATCGCTGGCTCCCCAGAGAATGGCAAAAATCCACGATTGGACCTCAGGTCATGTATGGATGTGGGTGTTTGGGAAACAGTTCAGGGTTGGGCTCTTCCTGGAACACTTGTAAGTATGGTCCACTATACAATTTCACATTTACTCATTTGGATTGTTATTTGCATTCATCTAGGTTTCTACAGTATCTTACAGACCGAAGCCCGTAAGGTCTGGAGCATGGACGACTCCGAAAGCGACGTGCCTGCTGACTACGTGCCTTGCGGAAGCAGGTTGTGAAGGGCTCCTTGCTTGTGCTTGAGGATTCGGGTTCAGCACCGTGTGTCGGTGGAACCGCGTATGCTCAATGTTGGAGCGAAAGATTGTATATAAATATAAATGTAGATATATAGATACACATATCTATCAGTGTATATACATGCATACACACATACATACATACATACGTATGCACGTATGTACCTACTTACATACATCATTGAAGCTTCTTTAGCTTCGGAATCTCAAAGCAGCACGGGAACCCTGAGAGGTCTCTCAGCAGCTGTTCCCGTGCTGAAGAACCACAGCTAGGAAGTAAGGGATCATGTCTCTGTTCTGAGGTGGCGTTTGTACCTGTCAGCTGTTTGGGTTATGGGTGCGCGCCTTCGAAGATTAATCCTGTGGCGGGCTACACTTGGCTTTTGCGGAAATTAGTCCTCGCTGAGGCATGCTGCTGGAATTGAAGCTGCTTTTTGTAAGGTAAATGCTTTTGGTCAATAGTCTGTTTGCAAAATCCTGGGAGGTGTAATCCTTCGGCATCATGCCCTGAGCCTTGAGCTGCAACTCCTCATCCAAGAAATCATGGATAAACGGCAAGGCATCCCAGTGTCAGACAGCCTGGGCTTCCAAGCGAGGAAGCCGCGAAGCCAAGGTGCGGTGGCCAGGGGACGTCGGCGAGGAGGAAGGCATGCGCTGCAGGGATGTCAGCTAAAGTCGGTTCGACTTGTTTTTCAGAGGGTCTAGCTTTGGGGCTGATGAGCTTGGAGGACGTATGGCAGGTTAACCTGAAATTGAAGGAGGAGCCTCGAAGTTTTTTCCTAGGCGCCGTGCTACTTGTACTACGCCGCTTTCAGACTCCTTGTGCAGGAGATTTGTTAAGCCAGGCACGCTGTGGGCGTATCTTGCAAAGAGGTCTGGTTGTGTTGCTACTTTGACCAAATAGATTAACATTGCTTTTTCACAGAGAGAAGCTGCCGAACCGCATGTAGACTTCTGGTTTGAACAGGGTAAGCCAACGTGACCCCAGATCCCTTGTCCCGTTGCCTTAACGTTGCCTTCGTGTTGGCCGCCGCTGTCAGCCTCAAACTTGATTTGTCCTAGGGGGTGAAAGGTTTAGGCTGCAACGTGGGAAGCTAAGACTCTTTAAATCTTGGGGTTTTGGGCTGGGCTAGGGGGCTTCAAGGTTTGGATGTCGGACCTACGAGGGCATACGATTCTATGTAGGAAAACAGGCGCGGAGTCTTGTACGAAGAGCCTGAATGGATTTTCTACCCAGCATATTTGATATACCTCAAAGCTCTTGGGTTGGGTTCCACTTAGGGCTTTGTGTGTGGAGCCTTGGACTTTCACGGCGCGGTGGCCTGGAGTGCCAAGCTCAGTGAGCGGAGTGGTTACACCCTGAGCCCGGAGTAGTACCCGAGTTCCCAAGATGACCCCAGTGGATGACCCTTGAATCCCAAATTTCCTTATACATGAAGCCATAGAAAGGCTATCCTTTCGGTGCTGTGTATTGGGAGGTTAAAAAAAGTGCAGCCCCAAGGACACTTGGGTTTTATGTGGGGACTGGGAGGTGGCATTGCTTTTTTATTGGGGATTATGCAAGGGTCATTCTCATTTTGCAGACATGTTGTTGAAATGTGCACAGACAGAGACACGGAGGCAGTCGTGATATGACAAACGAACACTCTGAACCCAAAGATTCGAAGCTGTACGTCCACAGAGGGTCCAAGTAGCACTGAACTTCGTGGAGGCTTTAAGCCTTCGCATGCCAGCTTGTTGCTGAGAGTAGAAGGTCCAAGCTGGATCCGGAGTTTAGCATGTAAACCCAGCCCTGTTCTCCCGCGTGGGACTTTCTCCGAATGACCATAGAACTCGTACTTGCAGCAGAGACTTCTCCATAATCTCTTTCTGTAATCCCCATATGTTCCATCTAAAGAAGCCGCAGCATCAACATCGGCAGTACTTGAAGATTCCTCTGCACCCACTGCACTGTGGACGTAGGTTTGTTCATCATGCCTGTTTTCCTGGCACAGTATGGTCAAGTTCACATACTGGCTCGCCTAGACAGGCTTGCGGAGGTTTGCATGTTGATCCATTCTTGACATGTTCTGGTTCTGTTTAGCCGTCTGGTTCTCCGTCTAGAGTTGACTTCTAGTTCTCCACTCTTCTTATTCAGACTTATTTGCGCACGTTACTTGGGCCTTCCCAACTTCATCCTGGAAGCTTGCAGCGCGATTCCTTCAGAGCAGTAGTTTCACATAATTCTCTTGTACACAGGGACTATGCTCAGTCCCTAGCAGTCCCCCCTCCCTACTCAGGAGTTCAGAAGAAGGCTCCCATCATGCTCTGCACCCTAAGCCTTCAGAACCAAGGACTTCCCCGAAAGATGGTTGAGCCCACGACCGACCGGCCGCCCGCTTAAAAGTTTTGCGTGAAGATTTTCTTGCTTAGTTGGTGATGCTCACGCATCTTTTTCTCAATCTCTTCTGACCTGCTTGCCGATGTTCTTTTTCAGGAGAACACGTGTCGCTAAAGTGTTGATGGTGACAGGCTCTACGGCACGAGTCTTTCAGGATGTTTGGATCGGATTGGTGTTTTTGGTGCATCGCCGACTTTACATGGAGCCCACTGGATGAGAAATCTCGTTTCAGAAGGCAAAGTGATGACATATTCCAGCTGAGTTTTCGGGCGCCGTCTCTGAACAAAGGGCTCAAGGTTTGAGGCTTTGTTCTCCATCCTCCGAGCCTGAAGCCCATGACAGTCAACTCCCTGAGCCCTAAACCTTTGAACAAAAAAGCCAAACCCAACATACCCTCAAACCAAATCTTGAAATGTTGAGTCCCGCTGAAGCCAAAGCCGAGGCACTTCGACAACCACCGCTTCGATGCTGAGCCCATTTAGTTTTGCAATTGCACTTCTGGTTGGTACCCTTGCTACGGGTCTTGCCACCATCATTATTATGGATTTTCCTTATATTATTGTGATCACGGTTTTGTTATGTGAGCTACTGCTATCCATAGGGTCATTTCTGACCGGCAAGCGACAGTGTTTCAGGAAGCCTTTCAGCGTCATGATTTGCGACAATGTTTTCAGGAACAGCTTCAAACCTTTCATATTGCGCCAGCCTTAACTAGAAAATGGTCCACTCAGACTACATTCTCTACATCCCCTCTTATCCGATAACGGTATAACATAGGCACATACGTCCACACACCTACCTGGGATTTTGTCCGAGTCCGCTGTTATCATGCTGTCAACCGGGCTAATCATGACGACCTCACCTCAAATGGTTCTTTGTATCGTAAAGGGTCCAGAATGGCATCATTTCAGGATTCTGTCATATTGTAAGGAAGCCGGTATAAATGCTTTCTGTCACCATGGAATTTGTGGGTACAGTGCCGAAAGCGCTAACGAAAAAGAAAAAGACAGAGAGAGAAAGAGAGAATGGAGCTATTAGCCATCTTGGGTCAAGTAGTCTGCCTGCCTCTGCGGGGTGCTCGGTCGCGGCCGTTCGCGGTGGACGCTGATCTGAGCGGAGGTGGCTGGAGGCCACGTGCTGAAGCTGTTACCAGATCCAGCCTTAAAGTGCCCCAGAGTTTCCTAGGGTCAGCCTGGACTTGTTGCTGCGCGCATAAGTGCGACTCTGGCTCCAGAACCAAGTACCTGATCGGGGAGCAACCGCTGCTTGTTGGAACCGAGAACAGGAAGGCCAGCAGTCGCGGCTGTCCGTGGCCAGGGGCTGTTTCCCCTTCTGCCACGGGCGGTGGACGTCGATCTGGGCGGAGGCGGCTTGAGAGACAGGTACCTGACCGGAGAACCAGGGCAACCGCTACTGTTTGGAACTGAGAAGTCAGGGACGAATGACAGCGAAAACGGCGGCAAAAAAACTGGCCCTTGGAGCGGTGCATGGTGTATGGGCGCGTCCCTCCCCCATCATATCCCCGAACGTCCCTACCGGGAGGGGGGCGGGAGTGTTTGGAGGGCTGAGGTTTGCGTAGCCGGCGCATTGTCGGGCGAAGAACCGGGGATAGAGGCAAGACTGCAGACAGCCGAGCTAAAGTTTGAGCCGAGGCATCGCAAGTCTACTGAAACAGACCAGACTTGCGTTGTTTGCGAGCAACAGACGTGCGGAGGCCGTTAGTTCAAGCATATCTTTGCCTGCAGATTTCTCAAACAGAAAATGTAAGTCGCAGAAAGACAAGTCAAAGAGCGAACCAGAGAACCAAGCTGACCAAGCTTGTCATACAATTAGAGCGAGTAAACAAGTTGGCGTGCAAGCCAAAATCTTTCGAGGGGAGAAAGGGAATAGGCCATGGCCTGAGCGGGAGTTGGCCTGATGCGCCGATGAAAATCCGGGGTATCCTAAACACAAAACCTCACGAAAGAACTGAAAGCCAACGACAAGTCCTACGGAGTTAGTTCATGTATTAATGAAGAATCGTGGTGTAACACGCTTTGTGGATGCGAGACCTGCTGAGCCATGCTGTTTTGCAGTAAGTAAGGTTGCGCGCTGAGTCCCAATCCAAGTCTTGGATAGGAACCTGTACTCTACGAAGCTCCTTCGTGGGATCCTAGACAGTATGGAGCCCATTTTCAGTTTTGTCACTGGAACCAGTCGCATGAAAACCGATGTCTCTGATTGTAGCTGTTTGTTGCGTCATTTATTGTCTTATCTGACATGTGTTGGCTTCTCCTTTGGTTGGAAAGGCCTTAATGATCTGTTTCTGGGGTCGTTTGTTGTTTTCTACAAGCTCATTGCGATAATGGAAGCAGTGACGTCACAATTTCACACCGAACTTCGGACAACAATGATGGGTGGCGGGGCCTAAAGGCCGATGGCAACCACCAACCCCTCAAAGAAAAACCAAGCAAAACAAAGGAGAGGAGCTATCTAGGCTCAAACAAACGTAAGGAGCGGACAGAACATCCACGGACCGTTATTACTCTCGCACACAACGTGCTTTCGCTTAGCAAGACCAGCACGGCTATTCAAGTGCAGATGGTAGCAATCAAGCAGTGATGCCAGAGCCAAAAGCAAGCACGCCAGTGTCGGACCACGGTCATTCCAATTCGATTGTAGGCGATTGCGTTCCAGTTGCGGTGTTGGCTTGAAAAGACATTGACAGCAGCTAATGAACAACGAGGAGGTGTTGGAGCGTTTCTGTCGCCAGCGCGCAGCGGCGGAGAATCCAAAAGCCGAAGACGAAACCCAGCAGCGCCTCTGCGGCTCCTTGGCGGGCCAGGCGAGGATTTGATGACCGTGGCTGGACGCAAAAACGTCGGCAATGCCCTGTTGAAAACCTTTTGCGTCGGCGATGCCCTGTTGAAAACGCCAAAAAGAGGTTCCTTTGGTCTTAACTGCCGGGGCCGTCCTTGCAGAAATCGATCCGCAAGAGAGGGCCGCCGAGTCTTTCAGAATGGTTTGTGAGACGGGAGATGTGAATTCACTGCAGGCAACATTGGAGGAAACGCGAGCCTAGATAATTTTACGGACACTCTCTTCGAAAGGTTGAAATGCCTATACTGAGGCTTGACAGGGGCTTTACTGAAGCTTGTTTTTGATTTTCGAAGCCCATTTTTTTTATCGAAGTTTATTGAAGCCTATCGAAGGTTTGTGGACAACCATTGAAAAAGCCATGTATTCCTTCGCATTTGAGGTGGGTTCTACGATAATAAGAACCATTGTCAGCACAGGCTGGTGTGTGGCCAGGAATCCTTTTAGTCATTTTGGTGTCATTTTTTTTGTCATTTTTGTCATTCCCCGTTGTCGTTTTTCAAAAATTCTCAGTTTTGTCGTCATTCCCGTTGTCATTCCTGCTGTCATTTACTTCGTTGTCATTTTGTTGTCATTTCCGCCGTGTTTGGCCGGATGGGCTCAAAAATTTGCCGTTTCCTGAAGCGGTGTCATTTTTGGTCATTTTGGACATTTTTTTGTGATGTTGGAATCTTTCTTGTTATTTCGGAGGAATTTTTTGTCATGTTGGAATCATTTTTTGTCATCTGAAGTCCTTGGTCTGTCCTTGGAATCACTTTAGGAGTCAGTTTGGAGTCATGTTCCGTCCTTGGAGTCATTTTGATTTTTTGTCCTTCTGTCCCCCTCTCGCCCCTCACTTCCTGTCGCCTCCCATCCCTTTCCCGTCCCCTCCCTTCCCCTTTCCATATATACCCCCTTCCCCTTCCATGCCCTAGTAGGCCTTGTGCAGGCACGTAGAAGACGAAGAAGAGAAATGAGTTGGCATCACTTGAACGCAAGAAAAAGTGTTATGTATGAGAACCAAATCCCAAACTCTATCTTAGGACAATTACACCGATTGGCTGGACCGAGAAACGCGGAAGAGAAACCGCCAGGGAGGGCGGCACATCGGGCCGCATGGCCTGGTTTTGGGGGATCCCAAGGATACAACTTTGGAGAGTCGATAAAATATATAGCATGAAGATATAATCCATTTTCTTCGGGGAGGTCGCGCGGTATTGTATTGCCCGGCGCATTTTGGAAGCTAGGATCTGGATTCGTGCATATTCACAGGTTGGAAGGGATGTAAAGTTTCGAGCATGTGCATGGCCGAGTGTATAGGGGTGAGGGATGGAGCGTGGAATCCAAAAAACACTTTCGCGAGCACAGAAGCCAGCAAAAGTGTTCATTCATAATATTCGTAAGGCACAGTAGGCTGCATTGATTTCCATAGGTTCCCAAGAAACGGCAGGACTCGTATTCACTTGCAATATCATGTCCTTCATACATCCTTTTCAGGGAGGCCTGTTTGAATGCAAGTCCTGGAGCACCTAGTCACACGATTACAGCGATTGTTGCTCATACCTTTCGGAATCCAGCGTTGGTTGGTTCAACTTGTGCCAAGCCATCTATACAATGGATTTCGGGGCGCAGGAATTAGGTTTCGGCCCGATCGGCTGCAGCTACAAGCAAGCCAAAATCACGCGACACTCCACGCCATATGATCGCGTGCCATGCATAGTCTTGCCGCAAGCTAAGCTGCTGTGATCCCGACATGTTAACTGGGCCAGAGAGACCTATAACCCCAATGCTGTAGAAACTTTGAAAAAGATTCCGTCCCAACATCTTCATAACCCCATGCTGTTCGTCCAAGGTATGGCTTCCCCGTGCCCAAACCCCCGCAGCCTCCTCGCCCAGAGCGACCCTTTTGGGTGCAGGAGCTTCCAAAGGGGAGAGCAGTGGGCATGTCACAAAAAATTAAGGCTTTGCTTAAGTTAAGATTCAAGGTTTTTGTAATCACCTGATGATTTCATGATTGTACAACAGAGCTGTTCCCGACGGATACTTTGCCATTCGCCTGGGACAGTGCTTCGTGTTGTTGCCGGTATATGGTACAGAACTGCAATGCATGTGTGACCTAGGGGTGAAGCTTTGAGGTCCGCCTATCTCCTCATTCTGTTTGGGGCTTCCCATGTTGGACGCTACAATATACTTCTTGGGCTTGAGTGTTGCCTTTTCTTCCAAATGTCTTGCAGGAAAGTGTTTGGGATAACCATTCGGAGGTCGATTTTGATGCATGCTTGTCTGCCGGCAAAGGAGCAAAGCATGACGTGACTGGGCTGCATGAGGAGGAGGGCGATCTTTTCGCAAATCACGCCCTCCCACCACTATACCTGGAACCGAGGGAAGAATCAGGCTGTATGGGCACCTGGTTGAGATCACGGGGAGAGGAACCGGCTTCCAGAACATACTCTGCCAGGATTGATGGGGTTAGCTGGCATAGGAGATCCACATCCCACCATATAGCATATCACTATCAATTGTTTATAGTGCCTCATGCAGCTCCTGCCGTCGATAGTCATGAACCAGTGGGCCTCGATCCTAAACCCTCTCTGATTGCCAGGCTGTTGTTGTCGTGCGGCTTCTGCTATAGTCATCATCCGCACTATATAGCACCAGTGCGTTGCAGCCGTTTCTAGGATGATCAGCACTAGTGAACTAAAAATTGGTGGATTCACGGATATGTTATGCAAGCCATGCCAAGATGCCAACGGCTAATATGAGGGATTGTTAGCATTTTACGTGTTAAACGGTTCCTGGTCACGGACGTATTTCGGAGCATAGAGGTGATTGGCCAGGTGGTAGGCTGTGAAGACTATCCTGCGAAAGAAATATCATAGGGTTTGCGATCAATTGTTCGGTAAGGACGCTTTCCAGCGGTAGCGTTTGCAAGAGAGCTCCGAAATTTAACTCCTATGTGCATTCTTCACAATCTGATTGTCATGGTCTTGCCCACAGCCCCACCACCAAAAATGCCCAATGCCCAGCACGAATCTCACACATGCACTTCTGAGCCAGATAGCTCTGCATCCCCAAGCAAAAAGTTCCTGAACTGGCGAAGTGAAACGTTTGATGAGGTCTGGGCTCATGGTGACACGCAAGTACAACCAAACTGCAGCTCTGTAGCAGTTGGCATGCAAGCCGCAAGCCGGGCTCCTCAAAGGTTACAGTAGGTGCGTTAGAGGCAAATAGATTGAGGGGATTGCGAGGTTAGGGAAAAGAGGGTGGAAGTTTCAGAGCTTGCGGGTTGAAGGCCGGAGCCAGATTGAGCATTGCCTGTCTGCAGCATGGCCTCTGAGATTCATGCCCTCACGTGTCCGTTTCAGCTCACCCCAGAAAGCCCCATAAAACAACTTTCAGTTTTTGCTGAGGTCAGAGACCGCCTTACCAAAACTGACACTCGCAAAGTTATTCTCACTCAATAAGGCGCTCTCAAATTCATAAATGGTAGTCCCAGTTTGAGGACCCACTTAACTCCAAAGCTTACCTCACTTTCCCAAAGTACCTTTGTAAAAGTGGTTGTCATACCTCGCTTTTAAAGTTTTAGATTACTCAGGTAGGGCTTTGACCCTCAACCTGGAACCGTGGCGATCCAGTCAGGAGACCAGCTACCAGACAGTCGCTACCCGAGCAGACCCGCATCACTTCCCGAACTACATTGATGTCAAAGATGCTGACCATTACAAGGACCATTTGCACATGATATGATCAAGGCTTTGGAGAGTTTATAGTGTGAGGCTCAGACAATCTTTCTTACGTATGTGCAGGGAATATCTGGCTCCGACTTGAGTCCTCGCCCCTCCGCAACTTTGTCAAGCAAAACCAATACATGCTCACTCACAACATTTCCAACCAAGCATTGCTTGACGAAAAATGGTCGGGCAAAGATGCTCCAAAAAAGCTTTGGAAGGACGCCTTCCTAGCTCGTGCCCCATTGGGCCCCAGAGACAAGTGCTACTTGCGTCTCTGAAGCTCCCGGTTCCAGCTGAACCCGGTCCCCTCCAAGCTGACAGAGTTGCTCGGATGGGGAAGTTCGCTCTTAGGGGTTCCTCCAAACCCTAAACCTCAAACTCTAAACCTGAAACCCCAAACTTCTAAACCCAAACTATATCCTGCCAAACAAGCATTAAACTTCCCCACCCCAAATCCCTTCCAGGATCATCGCAGGCGGAACTGTCACTGCGACCCTGACCGCTGGGTTTGGTGCCAAGCTTCTGCACGGACTAGCGAAGAGACTGCCACCTACGCAGGGGTTTGGGGTAAGGGTTTCAGGGTTATATAGGGTTCTGCGACCGAGCTAGGGTTTCTGTAGGGGCTATGTTCTTTGGTGGTTCGTGTACGTCTGGATGTCTAGGGTTTGGGGATTGGTTCATGCGAGAAGATGTATATATACATATATATGTATATACGCATGTACGATTATATATATATATATAGAATACATCTATGTATATGTATACATGTATGTGTTTATTTACAGTTATACTGTTGTACTGCACCAGGTTGTGGACCCCAAGCTGCGTGCGGCTGTTCCCGATGCTAAGGCTGGGCGTCAGGGGGCCGAAAAGTGGATTGCGTAGGAAAACGCTCATTACATAATCAGGTTATAACCTACTGCCCACTCACTACGGTTGCCATTGTATATAACACCAGCGCCTCATTATGTACCTACCTAAGTTATAGAAGCAGAACGAGTGCAGACAGCATTGGATGTTATGCAGCGTATGCTGCAACGGTCACATTGACCAACCATGAAAGTACATACCAGTCGGCTACCCACGAGATATCTAGAATCCTGTCTTCTTGGGTTGCACGTGGAGGTTTTGCAAGCGCTTGGCAGTCGGCTTGCCCGGGCAGATGACTTTTCAAATAATAATGATGGGCCCTGGTTGAAGCACTCTATGACTCACCCAACCTGCCCAGAGTCTAGAGTCATAGATCCAGCTTATGTTAGCGAGAACAGCTTTCTCGAAGGGCTCCGCTGAGGAGGTCTAGTAGAGGCTGGCTGCCAAAGACCAACGTACCATGTTCCTCAGTACTATATTACAACCTATCACATTTCGCTAATTGTTGTCAATGAATTTTGTGTTAGGTCATGTTCTGTCTGCTAGTACTACGTTGTATCAACTTCATTGTATGTTAAGCTTTTGCTATATGTTAGATTATATCGTGCATCGTGTGATACCATTTGGCTCATTGCCTTTTCAGGCAGAGTAGCAGAGCTCTAAGCACAGCAACTTGTTGGCAGGGGCCGTAGCGATCAGATCAGCCACGCACGCCAACGTTCCATCTGATCAGGGAGCTCCTGGATGAAATCACGAAAATCTTGACTGCAAGCTGTAACAGCAAGCACTGGAAGCCCCGCACTCTGAAGCTGAGATCTTCGACCAACCTACGACGCAATGCTGGTAGCCGCAACCCGTGGTATCCTGCGTATGCCAGGTGGAGCAGTTCCTCAGGGCCGAGCGTGGCGAAACAAGGATCTGGGGGTTGATGCAGGGCCTACACGATTTGAACTTGGTCTTCCGTTTGTCAATGCTACCCAATAACATTACAAGTCATCATCCATGTTCAAATTGTGTTGGGCTTGGTGTTGCAAGGCTTTGCGGGCTTGGAGGAGAGTTCGGATTTACAGGGATCGGATTTGATTGCTTGAGTCCTCCGGGGCACTTCGTTGCGCAAAGTCCTCAATCAGACGACTTGAATTTCATCACCGACACTATTCCAACGGGAGAGGCGGGCTGTCCGCATCAAAGTCTCTGCAATACAGGGTGGGCAAACTCATTCGGCCCAACATTACTTGAAACATTCAGCGATGCGCATTCCCAAGGCCCTGAGCTCCAACATCCGAAGCAACAGACAGGACCTATCCAGATCCGGAGATCTTGAGCATCCTCTTTGGTGATGAGGCCATGCAGTTTTGGCTTGAGGTCTACTAGCATTGGAGAGTTTTGCGCTAGGCTTTGCTCTTTGAGTTTTTTTTTTTTTTTT